GTGGAGCACCCACAGGGACATCTCTCGAAGAAGAAACAAACATACACTTTGGAAGGGAGTGGAGCCACCCGTGAGGAGATTCTGAAACGATGGCTACCCTGGCACACACAAGATTCGAAGCAGCGAGGCCGGGAGCCTGACCCCACTTCTGTGACATCTTGACCTATGACTGCAGGGCGTAGTTCTACCTGGCAGAGTGGGGAGGTTGGGAGGGAGGTTTATACACACACACACACGCCACCGGCAAGGAGATTCTGAGACGATAACTAATCCGGCACACACACGATGTGAACCCACAAGGCCGGCAGTCTGACCTCACTGCTGTGACCCCTTGACCTACATCTACATGGCCTAGTTTTACTGGGCAGAGAGGGGAGGGAGGGAGGAAGGTCAATGAACACACACATATACAAACACACAGAGACACACCCATGGAAGAAGGGAGATGAGACACCCGTGAGGAGATTCTGAGATGATGGCTCCCACAGCACACAGACGATTTGAACCCACAAGGCCAGCATCCTGATCACACTGCTTCGATCCATTTATTTGCACCTGCAGGGCCTAGTTCTACCTGGCAGAGGGGGGAGGGAGAGAGAGAGGGAGGTCAACAAACACACACACAGACACACCCATTGAAGAAGGGAGACAAGACGCCCGTGAGGAGATTCTAGACGATGGCTACCCAGGCACACACACAATTTGAAGGCGCAAGGCCGGTAGCCTGACCCCACTGCTGGCACCCCTTGACCTACGCCTGAAATTCCTAGTTCTACCTGGCAGAGAGGGGAGCTACAGCAGGAGGCAGTGGCGTAGCCAGGTGGAGAGAAGAGGGGGAGCGAAAAAAAAAAAAAAGGCGCCACCCAGCAGCGCTCCGGGTGTTTGGTGGCACCTCGGCGGCAGGACCTTCACTCGCTCCACAGGTCTTCGGCGGCATTTCGGCGATGAAGCTTCAGTGCCGCCAAAGACACCCGAAATGAGTGAAGGTCCCGCTGCCCAAGTGCCACCGAAGACCCGGAGCGCTGCCCGGTTAGTAAAAGCGCCACAGCGGGTGGCGCCTTTTTTTTTTCCCGCTCCCAGGTGAGTAAAATTAAAAAGGCGCCACTTGTGCTCAGTAGGGGAGTGGCCGCTCCCCCGCTCCTCCCCTAGCTACGCTACTAGCAGGAGGTCAACAAACACACACACACACACACTGAGGAAGGGAGAGGAGCTACCTGTGAGGAGATTCTGAGATGATGGCTAACCAAGCATGCATACGATTTGAACCTGCGAAGTCGGCAGTGTGACCCGATGGATGCGTTTCCTTGACCTACACCTGCAGGGCCTAGTTCTACCTGGCGTAGAAGGGAGGTCAACAAACACACGAACACACACACTGAGGAAGGGAGGGGAGCCACCCGTAAGGAGATTCTGAGATGGTGGCTACCACGGAATACACAGAATTTGAAAACACGAGGCCAGAAGACTGACCCCACTGCTGCAACCCCTTGACGTACACCTGCAGGGCCTAGGTCTACCTGACAGAGAGGAAAAGGAGGGAAGAAAGAAGGTCAACAAACACACACACTCAGGAAGGGAGGGGAGCCACCTATGAGTAGATTCTGAGACAATGGCTACCCCGGCACACATGATTTGAACCCATGTAGCCGGCATCCTGACCCCACTGCTGCTAACCCTTGACGTATGCCTGCAGGGCCTAGTCCTACCTGGCAGGGTGGGAGGGAGGGTGGTCAACAAACACACACAGACACACACACGCTGAGGAAGGGAGACGAGCCACCCGTGAAGAGAATCTGAGACGATTGCTACCACGGCACACACACGACCTGATACACTGCTGAGACCCCTTGACCTATGCCTGCAGGGCCTAGTTCCATCTGGCAGAGGGGGAGGGAGGGAGGAGGTCAACAAACACACACACACAAAATGAGGAAAGGAGAGGATCCACCCTGGAGGAGAGGCTGAGACAATGGCTACCCCGGCACACACACGATTTGAACCTGCGATGCCGGCAGTCTGACACACTGCTGTGACCCCTTGACCTACGTCTGCAGGTTCTAGTTCTACCTGGCAGAGGTAGGAGGTGAACAAACACTTTAAAAATAACACAAGAAATAGGGTACAAACAAAACAAGGGTTTTATTTATAAAAAACTTGGTGGTTAACACCCAAATAGGCATGAAGCCCAGACCCAGAACTTAACACATGTGGGTTACAAAAGGTATTAAGCAAACAGTTTACTTCACCAATCTTTTGCATAAACCGTAGGAAGCTGAAACCGGAACCAGGGAAACACACAGGAACACACAAGACCAATGAAACAGGAACCACAGCGAGGATGACAATGAAGACGACAGGGACAAAGTAGGTATCAGAAACAGGTATTGTATAAATAATTAAATCGGCATTGGAGCAGGGGCATTGGAACATATATCTCAGGTGAGTGCCCTAACCACTAGGGTGCAGTCACTCTCCCTCTCCCTGGACCAGTGTATATTTAATTAATTATCAAAAAGTGGAACAGCTTCAGCAGGAGAGATTGAGAAAGACCTGTCCCAGAATACTCCACTGCCCAGTGGTTATAGCACTCTTCTGAGAGGTGGGAAACAAGTTCACATTCTTTTTCCACTCAGGAAAAGAGGGGAATTGATCCTGGGAGACTGCCCTAACAACTGGGCTAAATGTTGAAAGGGACAGAATGGGGGGCGGGGGCACCTGCTCTTCCTGCATTTTTTGTGAGAACTGGCTTAGGCACTTAACTCCAAGAGTTCACAGCTGAGAAAAGACAGGCACTTCCATCTGGCTCGCACTTATGCATCTAAACTCCCTCTGAAGGGTGGGGCTTAGGACCCACCCCTCACTTTGGCATATCCTATTAGCTATCTTAGGTGGGTTCTTCCCTTAGTATTCTGGCTTTTGTGGCTCCCATTCTTAGGCAACTGACTCCCCCCGCCCTCCATGTATTGTATGAAGAGCCTGGGGCGCCTAACCCTGAGCAGTGGATTCCACTGCATGGCAAGATGGCTAAAAGTTAGGCATTACAATGCTGAGCCCAGATCCTTAGAAGGTATTTAGGCACCATTGATCTGGGTCTTAGACTTCTCCCTCCACTTGGAAGTCTGAGCCATGAACCCTCTCCAGGAGTTGGATGCCTAAGACAGACAGGGCCAGATTTACACCTTGCATGCTCCTAAACACAGCATCTTCAGCTCCCCCTGCCTACAGCTGACCTTTGCGTTTTCCAGAAAAAATGTCACGAAAAGAAATATAAATGATAATTTAAATATTTATACAATTAAATAACAAAAAATACATGTAATTAAAACAATCCCATAGATAGCTGCCATCCGCAGCTTGGAGTTGCAGGGTACCCCCACCACCTGGCCGGGAGCTGCAGGGTGCCCACGCCACCCGGAGCCCCGCCCCATGTGGGTCCCTTGATAACTAGGGGCTAGATTTATAAAAAGACTTACATCTGTATCCTCTTTAGCCACATACATCCAACATTTAGGTGCCACTGACACTCTCAAAACCCCTTCTCAGCTGCCACCTAAAGCTGTCGGTATCTAAAGTTGCTGTGCAGTCTAGGTATCTGCTGGTAGGCATGCACAATGCCAGATAAGTAGTGATGTTGCCTCACAGCTAAGAAGTTGCTTGGAGTGCCAACCAAAGCCCTAGTGGGATTCTAGAACTAGGCATTCCTTTGCCTATCTCACCTGCAGGGCTGATATGATTTGGGTTCTGCACATAAAACAGCCAAGGAACAGCATATCAGGAAAAAAATTAATGGGTGCTTAGGACCAGCTCCTCCTCCTCCCGCCCTGCGCCTCCTGCCCATGCAGGTGGCGCTGGGGAAAGGGGAGGAATGGGGATGGGGCATAATCAGGGGAAGGGGTGGAACTGGGAGAAAAGAAGTGGGGCAGAGCAGGGGTAGAGTGGGGTAAGGGTCTAGGGCGGAGTGGGGGCAGGAAGAGGCAGGACATGGCCTGTGGCAGAGCAGGGGTTGAGCAACCCCAAAGCAAGGAGGAAACCGGTGCCTGTGGTCTGTACCTGGCCAAGGTTGTCATGCAGTGTTAGGGAGAAGATTTAGTTAGTTTGGGATAAGATGAGACAAGTTTGGAGTGAGCTGTTGTATCTCCTTCCTGGGTGAATGCTGTAGAGGAGCCTATGAACTTCCCCCCACATGAAGCACCTTTCTTCCTTATCCCTCCCCACTTCAGCAGCTCTGGAGAGGCCATTTATACTAACCAGCAGCTTCTGCAGGAGCTCCTGAAAGGGAGCATAAATAGAAGTTAATTTTGGTAGTAAACCTCTAACAAGCTCTCCTATGCATGTGCAGATTTTTGTGTCTTGTAACATAGCCAAATGGATTTTCATGGAGAAAGCAGAAGGAACCATGTTGAGTTTAAGACTCTCAAAACCGATTTTGAAGTTTCTAACCCAACACTGGAGCTCTTTACAAATTGGTTAACATTGGGAAAACTACCTACTTCCCTAACCTCATTCTTCAAAGTGACTGAAACATTCGTGCTGATACTCTCCACAAAACTCCCGCCTGAGCCAAAGCCCAAACAGGAAGCTTCAGCTCAAGTCTTGGAAGTCTGGCAAAAGCATAAGCAATTGAAAGATAGTGGTTGGAAAAGGAAATGTTTGATAGCCTTTGTGAGGAGCCACCACCACGAGTTCCCCCAGTGGGGTCAGGCTGAGACCAACGCACAGACTTCTAGCCCTCCCCCAAACCCGGAGCTCGCCCTGTGCAGATATAAGGGTGGCGTTTACATTTTGGGTGGTGAAAAGACAACAAAATATTGTTGAACTGCCACGTTAGTCCCCGGAAAGACGGGAGACCGCGGGCCAGGAAAGCTGGGAACGGCAACAAGTAGCTCCGGTAAAGTTGTCATGAGCATTTATTTGGTGAAAAGTGGTAAAAGTCACATGACATCAGTAAAAAGAAGAAGAATACGGTAAGTAAACAAAGAAGAAACCGCCAGGCGGAGGGGCTCCCGGGGGCAAGGAGTCCCAGCCAGGGCGCCACCCGGTGCGGGATACTCCCCATGGCAGCGGATCAGGCCATGGGGAGCGGTTGTTTCCGTTTGCGCTGGTGCCGGCCGGGTCGGGGCTCGCGCACACAGAGCTGGCAGCGGAAGAGCCGAGGCGGGAAGCTGACGTCGCGGCGCCTTCCCGCGTGTGGCGCGTAAGGACTGTGGCCGCAAGAACTTTCCTCTCCGTTGCAGCTGTGAAGTTAGGCCGGTTGCATGGGCGGCAGGTATCACAGGCGGGGGGAGGCTGAGCCACCCGCAACAACCAGGTGTCGCCGCTCCCACACTCCGCCGCTAGTCCCGTCTTGCGTCTGTGGCTCGTGCCCTGGCCCTGCGCTCCGGGGTGGGGCTGGGGCCGTGCCTCCGGGGCTGAGGTGGGGGAGGGCTGGGACCGCGCCGCCCACTCTCCCGAGACTCTGGGACGCTAGCCTAGGAAGGGGCCGGCGGCTGCTTTGTGGGAGCGGCCCATGGCTGGTTGGTCTGATCTGATTGGTCCACTGCCGCTTGTAGTGTAGGAAACTGCTCCCTGTAGGAATGTGCTAGCTGTAGCAGTTACTAATACGTAATGGAGTGTAAGAAACTGCTATTGTAAAAAAACGGATGTAACAAATTCCTACAGATAGTAGTTTGTCCCCTGCACTCATGGTAGGACAAAGTTATCTAGGCCATTCCTGACACTGTGTTTGTCCACCCTGCTCTTAAAAATCGCCACGGATGGAGATTCCCTTCCCTGGGCAATTTATTCCAGTGCTTAACTACCCTGACAGGAAGTTTTTCCTAATGTCCAACCTAAACCGCTCTTGTTGCAATTTAAGCCCATTGCTTCTTGTCCTATCCTCAGAGGTTAAGGAGAACAATTCTTCTCCTTCCTCCTTGTAACAATCTTTTATGTACTTGAAAATGGTTATCATGTTTCAGTCTTCCCTCATAGGTCATGTTTTCTAGATCTTTAATCATTTTTGTTGCTTTTCTCTGGACTTTCTCCAGTTTGTCCACATCTTTCCTGAAATGTGGCGCCAGAGCTGAACACAATACTCCAGTTGAGGCCTAGTCAGCGTGGAGTAGAGCGGAAGAATTACTTCTCGTATCTTGCTTACGATACTTCTGTTAATATCTCCCAGAATGATGTTCCCTTTTTTTTTGAAGCAGTGTTACACTGTTGACTTATATTTAGTTTGTGATCCATTATGACCTCCAGATCCCTTTCTGCAGTACTCCTTCCGAGACAGTCATTTCCCATTTTGTATGTGTGCAACTGATTGTCCTTCCTAAGTGGAGTACTTTGCATTTGTCCTTGTTGAATTTCATCGTATTTACTTCAGACCATTTCTCCAGTTTGTCCAGATCATTTTGAATTGTAATCCTGTACTCCAAAGCATTTGGAACCCCTCTCAGCTTGGTATCGTCTGCAAACTTTATAAGTGTACTCTCTATGCAGTTATCTAAATCATTGATATTGAATTGGTATTGAATAGAAACGTATCCAGAACTGATCCCTGCAGGATCCCACTCGTTATGTCCTTCCAGCATGACTGTGAACCACTGATAACTACTCTCTGGGAATGGTTTTCCAACCAGTTTTGCACCCACCTTATTGTAGCTCTAGCTAGGTTGCATTTTCGTAGTTTGTTTATGAGAAGGTCATGCGATACAGTATCAAAAACTTTACAAAAGTCAAGATATACCATGTCTACCACTTCCCCCCATCCACAAGGCTTGTTACCCTGTCAAAGAAAGCTATCAGCTTGGATTGACACAATTTGTTCTTGACAAATCCATGCTGATTGTTACTTGTCACCTTATTTTCTTCTAGATGTTTGCAAACTGATTGCTTAATTATTTGCTCCATTATCTTTCCGGGTACACAAGTTAAGCTTACTGGTCTGTAATTCCCAGGGTTGTCCTTATTTCCCTTTTTATAGTTTGGCACCATATTTGCCCTTTTCCAGTCTTCTGGAAGCTTTCCTGTCTTCCATGACTTCTCAAAGATAATTGTTAATGGCTCAGATATTTTCTCAGTCAGCTCCTTGAGTATTATAGGATGCATTTCCCTAGTAGCTTGAAGACATCTAATTTGTCTAAGTAATTTTTAACTTGTTCTTTTCCTATTTTTGTCTCTAATCTTACCTCATTTTTATTGGCATTCACTATGTTAGACGTCCAATCATCACCAACCGTCTTGGTGAAAACCGAAACAAAGACGTCATTAAGCAACTCTTCCCTTTCCACATTTTCTGTTATTTCCCCCCCCCCCCTCGTTGAGTAATGGGCCTACCCTGTCCTTGGTCTTCTGCTTGCTTCTAATATATTTGTAGAATGTTTTCTTGTTACCCTTTATGTCTCTGGTTAGTTTGATCTCGTTTTGTGCCTTGGCCTTTCTTATTTTGTCCCTACATACTTGTGTTATTTGTTTATATTCATCCTTTGTAACTTGACCTAGTTTCCACTTTTTGTAGGTCTCTTTCTTGATTTTTAGATCATTGAAGATCTCCTGGTTAAGCCAGGGTGGTCTCTTGCCGGACTTCCTATCTTTCCTACTCAGTGGTATAGTTTGCTCTTGCACCCTTAATAATGTCTCTTTGAAAAACTGTCAGTTGTCTTCAATTGCTTTTCCCTTAGACTTGCTGACTTGTCCTAATTTGCTAAAAACTGCTATATGATGTAGCTAATTCCTACAGATAGCAGTTTCTTACACTGTAGGGTATGTGAAACTACTACCAGTAGGAAGTTGCTATCTGTAGCAGGGAGAGGTAGTGAATTGTTACCATTAGCAGTTACTGATACATATAGTTGTATCGTGCTGTTCTTACGTGCTGACTTGTCCTAATTTACTAAAATTTGACAGTGGTGTGGGATGGAAGCATAAAGTGTTCAGCGTCCAAATGACCCTGCCTGGATTCATGTTAGTGGGATGTGGGACATGTGGAGGATAATTTAAACTCTTAATTTCCTTAGAGTTCGCCTTCAGTATACTTCTATGTTGGTGCGATCTCATCAACTCAGCAAGTAGGCAGAGGCAGAGGCAGCAATGCACTTGTCCTGTTGCCTTGACTGAGAAAGGTTTCTGATCAAAGGGAACGTAGATTTCGGCAAGCTATTGGGTTAATATCTCATTGGAGATGAAAGGGCTTGTTCAGAAATAGATTTTGAAGTCTGTAGGGTAAAGATGAATCAGATGGGTTTGTCTCCATGCAGCTATATTTTATTCTCTGGGGGCTGGGTAGAAAGGAGAGAGAAGTATTTTGGGTTTCCTATTTCCCTTACTGAGGACCATCGATGCTCACCTGAAATTTTTCCTGGCCGAAGCAGTTCCTATCTGTTTATTACAGGATCAAAATATGGCTGCCATCACACAGAGGCATTAGTGGTGGTGGAGGTGAGATGAGGGCCAAAAAGTCCTTTCCTTCCCCCAAACACTCCCATGCATGTGGAAGCTGTAATGTTGCTGCTGCCTAAATACCCTGATGGCAAACGGGTAGAGGCAGAAGGCACTGCCAGTTATATTGAGCACCTCAGAGGAGCCATGCACTATATGGAGTCCATGCTGTTACATCTGTTCTGTACTGGTGAGGGCAACCCTCACTCCACAGTGCTCCTGGTGGTCCCAGGGCTTCCCCTGACTTCCACCAGCACAAACACTGCTCCTATCACCATTGCTTGAAGATGTACCACCTTCTTTTCCTCCCTGCCATTGCTCAAGCTTTAGAGCCATAGCTGAGCCTGGAGTTGGTAAAGTGCTCATGATCTCTATAAAACATGACATAGGTTGATTATAATTGTTGCTACTGAGGATCTCAAACTCAGAAAAACCTTAGTGAGGAGGCAAAGAGTTCTATTGAAAAACTGATGTGATGTTTTTGGTAAGGCGAATAGCTCTTTAGAGGTTCAGGCTTCTCCCATGAACAAATGAGCCAGTGAAGCAGCCTAGCAAAATAAACAAACCTACCCTGCTATTTACATTAGGAGGATAATTGATGCTGAATCCTGCAGCTGACAGAATGTGATATAAACAAGTATCGCACAGAAAAAATATTTCACTGCCATGCTTTCCACAGAAATTGAGATAGGACAGTGTTCAAAAATACAGGGGAGGGGTGAGGACCGATGAGGTGTGAGACTGTTAGGGCAAAGGTGGGCTTTATGGCACCATCGTAAAAACAAATATGTTTCATGACCATTTTATTAGATTTAACTCATGTTTTTAAATCATCACACAAATTAAAGTTGGCTATACAAGCCTATATGAAGCACTATATCTACATCTTTCTTGGTTTCTTGTAAATTTGCACAACTCTGTTAATAAACTTTTCGAATGCGGTGCATTCATTTTTGGTGGCTTCTCATGTGTCAGATACTTCCAGTCCTTCATGATATGCTCCTGATCAGGCAGAAGGCGACTTCTTTCAGAACACAAAATTCTATTCAGTGAGGAAAAAGAATGCTTAACTGTAGCTGTTGAGACAGGGAGTAGAAAGAGATGAATTCCTACTTCTTTCATCCCAGGAAACATAGCACAAAAATTGGGTTGAATCATTAGTGATGATAAAGAAGAAGTTGAAATCAAATCTACATTTGTTCATCGTATGATATTCCACTCTGTATTCAAATTCTCTATTCTGTCTTGATCACATGGCATCCCCATTGCTGATAGTGCCTCCACTCAATTGTCTGTTTTATAAGACAGGCATCTGTAAAAGCTCATACTCCACTATGTCTTCCAGAGAAGTTTGCAGCTCCATTAAATGCACAAGCAGCCATCTGTTTGGGGTTCAATTGACAAGCATTTAACTCTTCTAAGATGTGGGTTTCAGAGATGCAGCTGATGTGTCTTCTATAACCTGAACATCTAGAAATTTATCTACTGACCTACCACTGAAATCAAGATAATATAGGTCGTGACTTAATACTTGACACCCATTTGCATCGGTGCATTCATCAGCCCTGTATGTACATTTTCTGAATGCAGTGAGAGGGTTCTTCACTTTTTCAACCGCTGAGTCTTTGCACTGAATGCTTCTAACCAGTCAGTTGAGTTTCTTGCAGAAAGATAGTGAGCATTTGCTGGTCTTGGGTGGAACCAGTGTCCAATTTCCAGATTAACAAATGACAATGCACTTAACATTGGCCTCCAGTTTGTAGTGTGTGGTATCTCTTG